CACAGAGAAGAGGTGACTATGGGGAGGAAGTGGGAGGGGAGCTGTTGCATTGTGGTAAATTGTGGTCAATGTCATGAGACAAAGTGTATGTGAGCTGCTGTATGGAAAGTGAATTTGCTCTGTAAATTTTCACTCAAATCACAGTAGTAATAATAAAAGGAATCGACTTGTCAGCACCCAACAACTGCCTACCTCTTCTTATCACAATGTAAGTGTTTGAAAGGGCAGGGATTTTTGTCAGCTTCAGTCACTGTTGTGTCCCTATTACCAACAAATGCCCACCACATTGTGTGTGGTTGGGTGCCTCCGAGTCGGCTCTGCTCACAGTGACCCCAGGTACAACAAAGCGAGACGCTGCCTTGTCCTGCACCACCTTCACAACCCTTGCTGTGCCTGAGCCCATCGTTGTAGCGCCTGTGTCCCTCCATCCTGCTGAGGGCCTTCCCCTTTTTCATTGCCCCTCTACATACCAAGCATGACATCCTTCTCCAGGGACTGGTCCCTTCTGACAACACAACATCTGACACTTGTATAATACCTTCTGATAGATGAACTACTTCTAGAAGCGACTGAGCATGGTCCTCTCTTAAGCTCCCCACTCACAAATCCACCAGCCTACAGGACACCTCCACTTAAATGTCTCACAGATACATCAAACCCAACATGTCCCCGCTGAACAGTTTTCCTTCTTCTCCAGCAAAGCTGGGTCATCATTCAGGACTCCACCCTCCGCTTTCCCTCCAACCAGCCCCTCAGCATTGACAGCCTCCTCAAGGCTGTCCCGGCCTCTCCATCCCGACTCAAACTCGCAACCTCTCCCCATCCCCCCCTGGCCACACATCTTGTCTCTGTGCTGTCTCTCTGTCACATCTCATGGCCCTCGCCAGGCCCTTCTCTTCCTGGAAGCTAAGAAGAGCTTCACGACGCCAATCTGGCTGCACCACACTGGTGGAAGCCTCCCAGCTCTCCACCAGCTTTAGGAGACAGATGAGGTCCTGCCTGAGTCTACAGCTCCACAGGCCCCACACTCTGGCTGCAGGAAGCGTTTTCAGCTCCCCTGAGCCCTCTGCCCCGCTCAGCCAGCCATATCCCCGGTCCAGCTTACATGTCCCTTTCTCAGGAACCCCGGGCTCTGAATCCCCAACGGAGCACATACAGCCCTGCATTACAACTGCCTGGCTGCCTGTCTCTTCCACTTTTGGAGTTCGTGAAGTTGGGGGCCACACCCAGCACTGCTCACTGCAGACCTCCAGGCCCGGCAGAGGGCCTTGCACACAGCGGGTGCTTGGTAAATGGCCAAATGGCTCTCCTGTGAAGCAGGGGCTGGGCTGCGGAACCAGAAGGGGGCAGGCTATGGGGGCCTGTAGGGGTTGTAACCAGGGGCCCACAAGTCTGTATCAGACACCTAGGTCACTTGAGAAGGGGAGCCTGGGGGGATGAGAATACAAAACGTCTCATTCTTTGCCCTCACACTCAGCCTTGGCGCAGATGAGGCTGGCCGAGGGGTAGTTGAAAGACTTGAGAATTCGGGAGACGGCCAGGCTGACGTCCTCGTTGCTGGGGTACAGGCTGACAGAAGCGAAGCGAAGGTACTGAAGGCGGGGTGTCTCCTCAGGGCCCACCTTGATGTGGGGGATCTGAACAGAGAAGGAGCCTTTGCTTCCATCCTGCCCCCCCTTCCCCTGCCCTCGTCACCCAGGGACCCCGCCCACCGCACTCCCCACCTCACCTCCTTCTCCCCGCAGATATGGCTCACGGTGGAGGCAGATGCAGGGCTGGACGAGGGCCCCAGGACAGACACGACTCCCTTGGGCAGAATCTGACACACTGTGAGGACAGGAGAGAGACCACAGAGTCAGCCACGCTCCCCCTCCTCACTGTCCCCGCCTCTGGGGAACCAGCTGGCCCAGGAGACTGGATGCTCAGAGCTGCCTGATCCTCCCCCACCACCCAGGACCCAAACGCCCCATCCCCAACCCCACCCAACTCAGGGGACAGAAGGAAGGGAGCAAGAGACGGCGTGAAACTGGGAGACACAGCAACAGAGGGATGGTCAGACCAAAACGGAAACAAAGGAAGAGATGGAGAGCCCACCTATGGCTCCCCACGGCCCACGGGTGACCGTGGCGTCACTCACTCTGGCACTGCAGGCCTCCTGGAGCCAGCCTGCCACCTTGCCCAGCCACACCTCTCACTGCCCAGTCACACACAGGCCCAGATGTGTCTCACGATCCCCCCAAACATGCTCCGAGTCCAGGCGGTCCAGAGGGGTCTGACGCATACCCTCTGCTCCTTGGCTCTGAGCATCCCCCCCCTCGCCCACAGCTCTCAGACTGCAGCCCCAAGCCTGGTGCCGCCTGCCTCTTCACTCTCCATCCCAGCTTCTCCCAAATCGGGTTCTGGCCTCACCAGTCAAAAAAGTCTGAGAAACCCTGTTCCCCACTCTGTCTCTCAATGCCTTGAAACAGATAGATATGAGAAAGACTCTGATAAGGCGTGTAGAGAAGAAAACGGTTTCAAGCACTTTCTAAGGCAATATTGCCCAAAGGTCTATAAGCCCGGCACGTCTGTTCATGGGGCATCTATTAACTTCATGAGTTTTCCAGGGCAAACTCAGCAATGCTGCACTTTCTCCCTCTGCTTACCTATCAAGGCTCAGCTTCAGTCTGGCTTCTTAGAACGCCTCTGCTGACCCCACCCCTGCGCTTCCCTGGCCTCACTACTGAGCCCTAGTTACTCAGCTCTGGGGGCTCACAGCTGTCCCCAAATGAAGCTCAAATCTCCTCCAAGAGAGAGCTGGGGCTCACACCCTCACCACCCACCCATCCCAACAGCCACCATCTAGAGGAAAGGGAGACACAATGGAAGAGGGAAATGGAGCTAGAAGAGGACAAGACCAAGCTAAAGGGGGCGGGGTGGAGGGTCGGACGGAGGGTCACACTGAAGGCCACAGGAGGACAGGTCTGACTGGAGCTGTGGCCAGCTCGGCCTCCCCCCCCCCCCCCGCGGCCCCGCTCACTGGTATCCGTGGTCTCGTACTGGCTGTCCCGCTGCAGCTCAAAGATGTCTACTTCCACTCGGGCCTTGGCTGGGACCTCGATGATCCCGTTGATCTGCTCCCGGGCCAGGGCCAGGGCCAGACGCTCACCGCGGCCACACACAGTCTGGTCATCCAGGATTGCAGCTGAGGGGACACAGGGGCTGGGGACCAGACTCCTGCCTCCCCGAGGGCAAAGGGGGTCGGGGGCCTAGATTTCAAGATCCTGAGGAAGAAGAGGTGGGAACCTGGTTGCCTAGGTCTGAGGGACGAGGCGGGCTGGGGCCTGGACTCCTGGGTCTGAGGCAGGAGAGACTGGGGCCCGAACTCTTGAGTCTGAGGGAGGAGGGGCCTGGGGACCTGGACTCCTGGGTCACAGGGAGGAGGGGCCTGGGGACCTGGACTCCTGGGTCACAGGGAGGAGGGGCCTGGGGACCTGGACTCCTGGTTCCTGAAGAAAGCTGAACCCAGAGGCCCTGAGGGACGGGCATGCCTGAGTCCCCAAAGTTGAGCCCGAGGGCCAGACGGCAGAGTCTCTGAGGAGGCAGGGCAGGGCGCTCTCGGGTCTCACCCATGCGCAGTGATGAGAGCACCTGGCAGCTGGGGCTGACGAAGGCCACAGTCAACAGCAGCAGCAGCTCAGCCGGCATCTTCCTCCCCTCCTCATGGGGACGCAGCTGCCGCGGCCCCCACTCGCCACCTGCAGGCAGACCCCCCAGCCCAGGGGGAGGCTGAGCCCTCCCGGAAGACTGCTGGAGGGGTGGTAACTCAGGTGGGGGCAGACCCCCAGCCATGGTGGGGGAGGAGTTCACAGCTCTGAAGGGCCCTGCCCTAGTAAGAAGCTCACAATACTCAGGGCCCTGCTGGAAGGGAAGTTCAGGCTCCGAGGGCACTACCAGAGGAAGCTCACAGTGCCAGGGACATTGCCGGAAGCAGCGCACGGCTACCAAAATGGGAGGCCGGCGTTTATGGAACTTGGATATGGGCAGAAACCCAGGGACCATCCCCACCTAAGAGGAAACCAGAAAGTGCCACCCCCACCCCCCACCCAGTCCCGCCCCATCTCTGGGCAGGCAGCTGTTACTAGGTAACAGAAACCAGCTGGAGAGGATGCGGTGGTTACTAGGCAACCCCATCTCAGGCCTCACTTGCCACCTTCCTGACGTCCCTGATTCCCACAATCCCATGTCCCTGGTTCCCACAATCCTATGGGGACAGAGGCCTGGACATCCGGGATCTGGA